AGGTGCAGCTGCGTTTTGAGCCTGGTGGGCACAAACAGTGGGAGAGCCTGTCTTAAGGGCTGTTTTTCTGTGAAAAGGGGTGAGACCACGTGCCTGGAGTGTGTGTGTGTGTGTGGGGGGGGGGGGGGGAATGGAAAATAAAAGTATGAGGGACCCCAGTTTTGGAGGGATCACTGGGCTGAGTTAGGGGAATGGAGGATGGAGCTACAAAGCCCTGTAAGTGCCCGGACTAGGGTTGCCAGATTTAGCGAATAAAACTACAGGACGCCTAGTGACATCTGAATTTTGGTAAGCAACGAATAACTTTTTAGTTTATCTCATGCAATATTTGGGACTTTTTTTTTTTTAAGTTATTGCTGCTCATCTGAAATTCACATGTCACTAAGCGTCCCGTAATTTACCTGGGAATCCTACCCCGGCATGGCGAGTAGGGGGTGGAAGGGACTGCGCGACCCGGCCTCGGGGCCCGAGCACGGAAAACGAGTGCCACAAGGCTGGGGTGCTCGAGTGAGAAGGCTGAGGCCACTACTTCGTCCACCTACCCCTCGCCGCCAGCCAGCACCGAGACCTCCGCTGGTTCTCCCAGGGAGGGACTGGCTCCGCAGCAGCAGAACTTTGGTCTCGTCCCACCCACCCCCGCACGGCCGTGGTGTCGCCCTAGCGGCCCATCGATAACTCTACGCTCGGCCTCAGGCTCTATCGACTCACTCCTGCCCCACTCGCCGTCCTGGACTGCGGCGGAGCGCCGAGGCGCCTGTACGGGATTGGGGTCGCGGCACGAGGGCTAGGAAGCAGCTACTGTGTGGCCCGGAGAGCGCGCCCGGAGGAAGCTGGCCCAGTGGGACGGAGCCCGGCCGGCCGGCAGAGAGCCAGGGAGCGCCAGGACCCCGCCACCGAGGGCCCCTCACATCAGGTCTAGCCGCTGGCCTGCTACGCATGCGCAGTCGCAGCACTCGGCTTTCCCGTCGGCCCGCCTGCTGCCTTGCGCACGCGCGACCCATCCCTGCGGCAGAGTGGCGTCGGGCGAACTGCCCCCTGCGGGTGGCGGCGTCCGCGGCGTGTCTGTGGGGCCGGCGCGGGAGCGCGCCGTAGAGCTGGGAGGCTGCCCCTTGCCGGTTGCCGGGCGTGTCCCTAAACCTCTCTGTGCCTCAGTTTTTCCATCTTTAAAATGGGAATGATGTCTATATCTCTCCGAGTGGACCTATACTCTGTTTAGGACAGCGATTTTCAGCCAGAGTGCCGCAAGAATTTTTAAAACATGCAATTCCCATTTAGTCCGGGACACTGACCTCTTTTTCCTTAGATTGTCAAATTTAAAAATGACAACAGCCAACACAACAGTAGGCCTTCAGTGTGAATGAATCAGAATTATAACTTTTTGTGTGTGTGTCAGATCAACAAAAATATTTTTTGGTGTGCCGCAGAATTTTAGTATTTAGTTTATGTGTGCCATGAGCTGTAAAAGATTGAAAATCGCTGGTTTAGGACATACAGGGTTATACTCATCTTTCTATTTTCCAGATCCTCTGACCTTTGATCCCTGCTGAGTCTTCCAAGCAGCCACAACATGAACACATCCCCAGGCACTGTGGGCAGTGATCCGGTCATCTTGGCTACTGCGGGCTATGACCACACCGTGCGGTTTTGGCAGGCCCACAGCGGGATCTGCACTCGCACGGTGCAGCACCAGGACTCTGTATCCTCTGCTGGGAAGGTGGGGAGGGTGGTGCTGGACAGGACTCCTGGTGGGGATAGCAGCCTGGGGTGGGGAGAATACAGCAGCAGCTGAGCCAGATGGTGGAGGCCTTGAGGGCTCCGGACTCCAGGGCTCTGCTGGTCATCGTCCTTAGCATACATAGCAGGTGAATGCACTGGAAATCACGCCTGACCGCAGTATGATTGCTGCTGCAGGTACCTGTACCCTCAACCTGACCCCTAACCTCTTGGTGGTTTGATCTAGGCACAGCCAAACCTCAGTTTGGTCTATGCCCACAGGTTACCAGCACATCCGCATGTATGATCTCAACTCCAATAACCCCAACCCCATCATCAGCTATGACGGGGTCAATAAAAACATCGCGTCTGTGGGCTTCCACGAGGATGGCCGCTGGATGTACACGGGTGGGGAGGACTGCACTGCCCGGATCTGGGACCTCAGGTGTGGATGCCAGGCAGGAGGGCCAGCTGCCTGGATATGTAGTGGTTCTGGGTGTATGGCAATGAGGGTCAAACTGGAGAGTGACTTAGGTCGGGTTCCCTCTCAGCAGAAGCCGAGACAGGGTTTGCTATGTGGGTGATTTATTGAGAGCAATGAGGAAAGCAGGTTAGAGAAGAGATAAAGCCACACAAAGATGAGTCCAGTCTCAACCTGTCCCACAGGGAACTCTGGAGAATAAATTGCATCAAAGAGCAAGTCCTGCCTTGAGGCAGGGGACTGGCCTTTATGTCCCTTTTGAGTCAATCATTGGCTTCAGACTGCCCCTGGTGAGTGTGAGCCTCCTAAGTATTTCCTGTGGGGTAGCTCTTCTCAGCAGAGGGCCAGGATAAATGGCCAGGGAAAGGGCATCTGGGTGGGGCACCAACAGCATCTCCTACAGTATTTGTCTCCCACCCCAAAGGTCCCGCAACCTGCAGTGTCAGCGGATCTTCCAGGTGAACGCACCCATTAACTGTGTGTGCCTGCACCCCAACCAGGTGAGGGGTATGCACAGGTCTGGGCACCCTGGGGCTTTGGGGGACAGGGGTCCTGCCTTATCTCACCTCCCTTGCACCCCAGGCAGAACTCATTGTGGGTGACCAGAGCGGCGCTATCCACATCTGGGACTTAAAAACTGACCACAATGAGCAGTTGATCCCTGAGCCTGAGGTCTCCATCACATCTGCCCACATTGATCCAGATGCCAGCTACATGGCAGCAGTAAACAGCACTGTGAGTCCTGGGGTGGGTGCAGTGGGGGAGACCAACTCAGCACCCAGCCCCTTATCTCCTTTATTCCCTGCAGGTGTCTCCCTTACCCCACAGTTCTGCTTTCCCCTCCTGTACTCCAGCTCCAACCCAGTCACCAAAGTCAAGAAGCCACCTCTCGTTTCCTGCTGTAGCCCCAACAGTTCCCATCTCCTGAGTCTCTTACTGTCCCACTTACCCCATTTCCTGACCCAAGTTTCCCTTGCCTCCCCTTCTCTGTGGCCTCCCTCTGACCCCCCTCACCCCGATCCATTCTCTTTCTGCCACCAGGGCATTCTTCAGTAGAACCAGCCTGATCCCTTTGTTCCCTGAATAAATCCCATGACGACCCTGGCTACTTATCAGGGCCTCAAGATACTGTAGGTGCCCTCCTCTCATCTCATTTTTTTTTTCATCCTCACCCAAGGAATGAGGATATTTTTTCCATTGATTTTAGAAAGTAGAAGGCAGGGAGGATGTGGTGGGGGGAGGGATTGGAGGGAAGAGGAGAGAGAAACATGATGTGACAGAGACACATTAGCTGGTTGCCTCCCACACTTACCCTGACTGGGGGCGGGGATCAGACCTCCAACCTAGGTGTGTGCCCTTGAACCAGAGTTGAACCTGTGACCTTTCAGGATGCAGGCCAATGCTCTAACCATTGGCCCATCTCATTCTTCACATTCTGATTGGCCAGCAGCATCAGGAAGGCTAGATATAGCCTCTTGCTCTCAGCCCACCAGGTATAGCCCTTCATTGGGGCCAGGCCTCCAGGTGCTCTCTGCAGGCAGGACTTGATGTGCCTGCAACATGTCCCTGGCCCCCAGACCCCCTGTGCACAGCCATGGTGTTGGATGGCAGCCCCTGGATCTGGGTCTACCTGCTAGGGCATCCATCCCCATGTGTCAGACTGGAGGTTCTGGTCCCCTCATGACTTTCCTCCTGCCCCGCAGGGGAACTGCTATGTCTGGAATCTGACGGGGGGCATTGGCGATGAGGTGACACAACTCATCCCCAAGACCAAGATCCCAGCACACACCCGCTACGCCCTGCAGTGCCGCTTCAGCCCAGACTCCACGTGTGTGCAGGGCCCGGGGACCAGGAGTTCTCCATGGCTATGGGGAGGAAGGGACCTGACTGGGTTGGGGGCTTGATGGATCTGGGACTGCTTGGTGGATGGCAAGGGGATGCAAGGTTGGAGTGACTGCTGATGACACACCCACCATGCTCATACCCACCCCTAGGCTCCTTGCCACCTGCTCAGCTGACCAGACGTGCAAGATTTGGAGGACGTCCAACTTCTCCCTGATGACGGAGCTAAGCATCAAGAGCAGCAACCCCGGAGAGTCATCGCGAGGCTGGATGTGGGGCTGCGCCTTCTCTGGGGACTCCCAGTACATTGTCACGGGTGAGTCCCACCTACTCTGCCTCCCTGCCTTGCTAGCCCAGTGGTGCTTGCTGCGGCTTCCCTGCTACCTGGGAGCCAGCCTCCAGTGTGGGGCCGAATCCTGAGCTGATACCCATGTCCTCCCTCCCCATAGCTTCCTCTGACAACCTGGCCCGGCTTTGGTGTGTGGAGACGGGAGAGATCAAGAGAGAATACGGCGGCCACCAGAAAGCCGTGGTCTGCTTGGCCTTCAATGACAGTGTGCTGGGCTAGCCTGTGCCCCCCTGGGATTGCAGGCAGCCACCAGGCAGCACTGGCTGATGTGATTGTTCAGCTGCCATGTCAGAGCGGACCCTTCCTCGGGCTAGCCTCTACCAGCTTAGGCTAGCTGGACCTGACTGACTGCCCTGGCCCCCTTGGCCAGCCTAGATGGGCCAAGCTGGTCTGCTGAGGGCTCTCTTAGTCCCTGGTTGCTTATCTGGATGTGACAGGGCTCAGGAGGCTGACCCAAGCAGCCTGGCTGCTGCCCACCCCCAAGCCAGTGCTTTCCCCCCTCCCCACCCTTTACATGTCCCGAGACCACAGAAAACACCATCACGGCCAGGTGGAGGGGTTTATTAGCCCCTGCTGGTGGCTGCCTTCCATGGCACTGATAGGGCCGTCCAGCTGGCTGGCTGGTGGGGCTGGTTGGGCTGGGGGTTCAGTCTGGGAGGTAATAAAAGCAGACTGACACACAGATGTTGCTTGGGAAGCAGATGTCGATGCATAGATAGATCAGCCGCTGCCTCCGGGGCCCTGTGGGGAAGGGCCTTAATGAACCCCAAAAGAGTTCCTCTCCCTCTCCCAGAATGTCCATGGGAGCCCAGGCCTCTCCCCATAGCTGCCCCGACTCACCCTCTGCTCGACGGGCCCAGTAAATGGGGATCTTTGAGCAAAAGTGCCGCACTGAAGCCCCCACTTGGGCAGGGTCCACCTCATGGCTCCCAAGCACTGCCAGCAGCTCCTGAGCATAGTGGGTCTCCTGGCTGGGGCTGTTAGACCCCTGGGTCTGCAGAGAAGGCTCCGGTGGGCCTTGGGCCAGGGATACTTGCACTGCCTTTGGCTGGGCAGGGCCCATGAATCTCTGGACATGCCAGCACTGTGCCAGCCACGCCCTCAGTTCTTGTCAGCAGTCTCAGCAAAGGGAAGATAGAGCTTCTGTTCCCCTGAAACCAGAGCCCCAGCCCACCCCGGGCCCAGGCGGTACACAGGACCCTTTGTCTGGCCCATGGCCTGGAAAGCCTGACCATGCGAGTATGGAGGCTGCTCACCTTTGAGGTGTTCACCAGCAGCTGCAGGGTCTTGCGATCTCTGGGCTCCATTGGGTGGAGGAAGCAGGCCCGGTGCTCTGCAGGTCGGTAACAGACACAGTCCTGGGGAGGCAGGCAGGTAAGGAAAGTCCATCTGACCACCTTTAGGCAGTGACCCCCTCCCCCTCCCCACCAGTCAACTCACGCTCTGCCCATCGAACAGCACCGCCCAGCTGTGGTTACTCTGAGTCGGGGTTACCCTGATGGTTGCCACATTCCCGGCCACGTCCACCTGGGCAGTTTGGTTGAACTGGTACACCCTGGGGCTCGGGAGGGTCAGACGGAGCATCTGTAGCAGTGGCTGGGTGGGAAGCCAGAGCTCAGCTGGGCAGGCTAGGGCTGCCCTCACCCTCTTTCCCCAGCCCTTCTTCCAGGCTTCTGACCCCTCCACTCCTTTGTCCTCCCCCTGTAAGCTCAGCTCTAAACCCTGGATTCACTGGAGGGCTGGATGTGCTGGCCTTTCCTCCCCCTTCCTAGTGTGCATGCCTGCCCAGGTCCTGAGGAGGCTCACCTTGGGAGGGCTGTGAGCAAAGCCAAAAAGCCCTCCAGTTACAGCCCCAGCAGTGGCCAATGCCAGCAACAGCAGCAGCAGCCCCAGGGCTCTCCAGCCCCCATGGCAGGGTCTGGTCTTCACCTGAGGGCACACTGCAGTCAGTGGGGCTTGGAGCAGACTGGCTCAGGGAAGATAGGGGTTGAGGAAGTGTGGGTGATGGGTGTTGCCCTCTTGTCCCCTGCTCAGGGCATGCCCTGGGTCTTTGTCCCAGGAGAGGGCACTGGGTGATGGGAGGCACTCACCCTGATAGGCCCAGGCCTAGGATCCTCTGCACAGCAGCTCCCCTGCTCCATGATGCAGCCCTGGTGACAATGCACTGATTGTCTGCCACTCCTTGGAGTCAGCCAGGAAAACCTCAGGAGCCTCTGATAAGCCAAACAACCGTCCTGGCCCCCTCCCCTCCTGCCTCCTCCCCAGCCTAGCTACCTGAGCCAAGACAGCCCTCTCCCCTCCACCTGGGGGAGGGGGATGAGCTTGTCACCGTGCCTGGCTCTCCTCACACCTGGCCTGTACTAACCTGAGAGCACAAACCTGGTAGGGCATGAGAGCATGGCCATTGTGGAAATCAAGACCTGCTGAATAGCAGGCAGGGCAGCCCAGGCCTGGCAAGAGCAGCTTTGTCTTGTTGGGGGCAGATTAACTTTTCCTAAAGAGGCCTGTTACTAGTCTCCTGGGTTACCTCCAGACTCCTAGGGCTGGGCACAAGGCCTGGCACATAGCAAACCATCAATAAATGCCTATGTTATGAAAGGTTGGTATTTTGCACTGCCACCCTACTTCCCTCCCCATAAACCCCAGCCACTTCCCAACCCCTGCAATTTTGGGTTGGGTAGCATCCCAGAGAATGTGCCTCACACCAGGATGGCTTCCAGGAAGCTCTGCTGCAGAAAAGGTAGCCTACTCGAACCTCCTTTGCACCCTGAGATGGTTAGGTCAGCCTTGTGTCCACCAGCCTCTGCCCTGACCAGCATAGCTTTTCTCTAACTGTGCTATGGCCCTGGCTCCTAGCTTGCATTTCCAGTCACCTAACACTGGATTGCAACAGGAAGGACTCCCCAGGCAGCTTTCACAACATGGGTGCCCTTACCAGGAGCCCTTTCCTACTCTGGTTTTGCTTTGTGCTTCATTTTTCCTGGATCTTCAGAACCTGTCCTGTTATGAACCTGGGGTTGTTTCCAGCTCTGGAATTGAAGATCCTTCAACTAAGTCCTCCCGCCCCATACCCACATGAAGGCTAGACAGCTGCAGCCTGTGTGTGAAGGCTGCTGTCAAGACGAGAACAAGGAACGCTAGTCAGCATGGGTTTGAGAGTTTAATGTGCATTTGAGTTCACACAGTGCAATAAGGGCAGAGATGGGGCGCAGAAGAGGAAGGTGTCGCTGGCTGCCACACCTGCTGTGTGCTCCTGGTGTGGGTGACAACGCCCTGATAGGCCTGCTCAATATCCAGACCCACCTTGAGCCGACCTTGCAGAGCCAACGTCAGCACCACCAACCTCACAGGCACCGGCTGCCCTGCTGTTGTTGGCAGAGTCCAACCCCCAGACACTCCAAGCCTGGGAGAGCTAAAGGCTCAGGACACCCTTCACTACTGGGAACTCTTAGAGAAAGGAGTAAAAGAGTGTAACTCTGGGATTAGGAGAGAAGCCACAGGTTGTAGGCAGACACCACTGGGTGCAGAGCAAGGCCCCGGGAAGGAGTCGGCCCAAAGGAACAGCTTCCCAGGCTCTACCCTACAAGTGCAGCTGGAAAGTCTGCTTATCAGGCCTGTTCCCAAAGGTCAGCAACTTAGGGAACAGGCAGAAAAGGCCAGGGCTCCCTACCAAGAACCCGTGGCTAGCCGGTGAACCCTGCCAGTCCTCCAGCTGGCCACTGACCAAGGACTTCAGAGCCGAGATATTTGGCCTCATGGACCATTGGCATCTAACCCCCACACAACCAAAAGTATGGGAGGACAGGAAGAGGCTGGATGCTTTGTAGGAACCATTTTCCTGTTCTTGGGGACACTTCTTTCTTCTCCCACCCAGAGGGCACCCTGGATAACAGGCATTCCTTGGCCTGCATATGACTTTAGCCCTGCTGCTCATTGCGGGGCCTGGAGATTTCTTCGGTGGGATTTGCCCTACAAGACTGAGCACAGCTGTTAACATGCTTATGATTCAATTCCACCCCTTGACAAAGTTGTTCAAAAGTTTAAAAAAATAATTTTTTTATAACAATGCTACTCTGAGCTCCCTACACAGCAGGCCAAAGTTCAGCAAAGGCACCCATGTCCTTCTGGCTACTCAGCCAACAATATGCTCACTCCATGTCACTTGGGTTTAAATGCACATTTGAGAAAGCTGTGGTTTAGCTGGGGTGAGTTTACAGAGCTGCACGACCATGTACGAGGAGCAGCAGCCCTGAGCATCTGAAACACAACACTCAATATGGCAGAGTGGTAAGGAAATGTGGAGTGGTGGTGGTGAGGACAGCTCTCCACACCCCAAAGACAGGGAGACACTACCAGAGGACCACCCCATCCTCCACCCTACCATGCAGGTGAGGAGCTGGAATACAGCAGCAAGCTCCTCTGCTGATGACCCCACCCATGGGGCCTTGGGTTGGTTTGTACATTTCTCCTGATAGTCAAAATAATCAGTCCCTTCTCCCCTTTGCCCTACAAGAGGACTTGATCCCTGAATAAAAATTTCAATAAAATATGTGACACCCCTAGACCTACCTCAGTCCCATCAGCAGGCCCTTAGGTTATCTGAATTCCAGACAGATGTGAAGCCTGCTCTTGCCAATGGCAACCAAAGCCCAGAACTCCCACAATGCCCTCCAAGTTTAAAAGTGCACCTTAAGCCCTGGCCAGGTAGCTCAGTTGGTAAGAGGGTTGTCCTGATATGCCAAGGTTGTGGGTTCGATCCCCAGTCAGGGCACATCCAAGAAGCAACCAATCAATGCATAAATAACAGCAAATTGATGTTTCTCTCCTTTCCTCTCTTAAAAAGAAAAAAAAAAGTGCATCTTAAATTATAAACACCTGTAACAAAATCACCCCCAAACCTTTACTTCCAAGGTTAACTAGTGCCTTTGCTTAACTCCAAGTATAACCTTTAAAGCCACCTAGCTGAGCAAGTTCTTAAGCCCCACCTATTAATTTGGTTAAGTGGTTTTCAATTTTTTTTTTTTTATTCTGTAGATTAAAGACGCTAAATCTTTAACCTTGAAGGGCAGGCAAAAGGTCGGCTATGCTGTCAACATAGAAGTCAGGGACCATTTTCCTTTTAGACATGCAGTCACTTTCCTGATTACTCTTCACATCTCTTAGAGAGGAGACTCCAGTGAGGGTGAGGATGGTCTTTAGGCCACAGGAGACGCCCAGGAGGATGTCTGTGTCCAGGCGATCTCCCACCATGACGGTGCGCTCGGGGTTGATGCCGTACTCCTGGGACACGCAGTCGAAGATGAAGCGGCTGGGCTTCCCTATAATGTCGGCCTGGCGCTCAGCGGCCATCTCCACGGCTCGGACCAGACAACCGGTACCTGAGGGGCGGAGAGGGGAGGGGAGGAGAGCGCCCGAGGTCAGAGGGCTGGAGGGGCCCGCCGCCGCCCTCCAACCTCCTGCCCCGGGGCGCACGGACCCGCGATGAAGCGGCCGTTCTCGAGGGGGAGCCGGTTGTCCATGTTGGTGCCCACGAGCAGGCAGCTGGGCTGCTGCAAGTAACGCACGGCCTTGGTGAGCTTCATGTAGCTGAAGTGCGGGTCGAAGCCCACCACGACGGCGCGCACGTCGGGCTCGAGCGGCACGTCCAGCCAGGCGCCAGGGCCGTCGCCCTGCAGGGGATCCGGCCCCACGCCCACGCAGGCGACGCCCACGGCCTCCAGCTCCGCGGCCAGCGCTGCGCTGCCCAGCACGTAGGCCTTGGGGGCCGGAGGGCCGGTCAGGCGCTGGCGCAGGTAGAGCGCGGTGCAGTAGGCCGTGCCGAAGACCTCAGGGCTGTCGCCGGGTCCCGCGGGGCCGCCGAAGCCCAGGCGCCGCAGCTTCTCGGCGTAGGCCTCACGGGTCTTGCTGCTGTTGTTGGTGATGAAGCCGAGGCGTTTGCCACGGGCCCGCAGCGCCGTTAGGGTCTCCGGCGCGCCAGGCACGGCCGTCTCGCCGCGCCACAGCACGCCGTCGCAGTCGAACAGCAGCGTGTCCACGTCGGCCAGCAGCGCCTGGGCCCGCTCGGCGTTCAGCCGCACGCAGCGGGCGTCGTCGCCGCCTGCCTCCGCCTCTGCCATGGCCGCCTGCCGCCGTCACCGCCACCGGCAGCCACCGGCCGCTCCTCACAGCCGCCCGCCACAGTGTCCGCCCCGCCCCCGCCGTGCTCATTGGCCCCCCCGCCTCACGCGCACCTCCCATTGGACACCGCCTGCGCCAATCCGCCCCTGCCTACCTCAGGTTGCCGGAGCTCAGCGCCAACCGTCACGGCCCGGCGCAGGGAGGAGGACAGCTATTGGCTGTAAGTCCAGGGGCGCTTCGGTGATTGGCTGGCAGGGAGCCGACCGGTATTCGGAGTGGAACCTTGACTGCGGAAACGCTGCGGAGCCGGGGAGGCGGCGCCGGACGTAAGGCCGCTGCTTATTGGGCAGCTCAGTGGGCAGCTCGCTCATTGGAGGCGCGTGGTCAGCTTAGGTGACGGAGACCCTTCATCGAATGACCCTCAATCGGGCAGGCTATTGATTGGCTGGCTTCTCTCCCGTCGTGCGGGCGGGGCTCTCCGCAGGAGCGCGGTAGGGGTGGGGTGCTGCCCCCCTTTCGGAGGCAGTCACGTCTTCACCTTCGCTTGGGCTGGGCCGGGCATTGTCCTTCCCACTGGACATTCTCCGCACACAGTGTCAGCGTGCGGACAGACTACGGCCAGTCCCGAGAGCCACCTCGGAACTAACTCCTTCCTCACAAGCCTTGCGTTGTCATTTCCAAAAATGCTTTCGCTGCGGTCTTAGTGGTTTTGTGAACCAGTAACTTCGAGGCAGTGGAATTAGGGTCCTTAGTTGGTCATCATCATTATTATTAGGTTATTGTTATCTTTGATTGAGGTGTAATGTATAATAAATTGCATAAATCATAAGTATGCAGCTTGATGGGGTTTTTACATACCTATACACCTGTGTTAACACAACCCAGATTAAGATTCAGAATATTTCCATCACTTCAGCTTCCCTCACATCACTATCCAGCCAATAGCGGAGACCCCTCCACCAGCCTCTTTTCTGACTACTATCACCATGAAGTCATGGCCTCCTTCGCCTGTTCTAGACCGTCT